TGGATGGGTGGGTAGGTGGGTGGGAGGGTGGGTGGATGTATAGGTGGATGAGTGACTGGATCGATAGATGGATGGACAGATGGCTAGACAGACAGATGGTGCCTGGATGGATGGATGGATGGATGGATGGATGAGTGGATGGATGGATGGGTGGGTGGGTCAATGGGTTGAACAAGTATGGGGGAATGGTTGGGGTAGTAAAGGGTGAAGAGAGGGTAGAAGATGGATAAAAGGAAAGAAGGAAGGAAGAGTAGCAGTGTGGATGGATGCATAGAAAGATGTATGTAGAATGAATGGATGGATGGATAAAAAGAGGGAAGGTTGGAAAAGAGAGAGAGAAATGGAAATGGGGGTGAGGGGAGAGAAGGGTGTTGGGTGGGTGGGTAGAAGAGTGGGTGACTGAGTGGGTGGGTGGTGGATGAGGTCAAAAAGCACTTCCTAGGGCTGGCCCGTGGCTCACTTGGGAGAGTGCGGTGCTGATAACACCAAGGCCACGGGTTCAGATCCCTATGTAGGGATGGCCGGTTAGCTCACTTGGGTGAGCGTGGTGCTGACACCACCAAGTCAAGGGTTAAGATCTCCTTACCGGTCATCTTTAAAAAAAGCACTTCCCTCTCCAGTGCCCACCCTGCTAGTGTAAATGCCCTGGGGTGGCTCACACCATAAGTTCCTTATGTTTTCCTCACTGGGACAGGACACCTCTCTCCTGATGGTAGAGACCAGGGCGGTTGAGGAAGGACAGGGGAACTGCCTGGACCAGGCCAGGAGAGGCCCAACAGGAGCGTGCCCTTCCCCCACTTCCCCCACTTCTCCACCCACGAGGCCCCAGCACCCCCAACAAGAAGTCCTACTCCTCTTCTTCTTGCGCCTCCTTTTGCTCTTCTTGCCCAGGGCGGCGGAGCACTCGGAGCGCACAGAGGAGCTGTGGATGCTGGCACTATCGAAGTCCGACTCCTCCCGCTCATCCTCCTCGCTCTGCAGGGAAGGGAGGGAACTGTGAGCCCAGGGAGGGCTTCGTTGGCCTGGGCAGTGTGGGGTGGGACGGGGCAGAGAGGAGGCACTGGGGAGACAGTGGTCTCGTGGCTCATCTCAGCCACCCGCCCAGCTGGAAACCTCATGCCACAGCCCAGCCTGATGTCCCACCCCCCTCCCCGAGCCCTGCTCTCCATCCTGCCAAAATCCTACACATCCTTCAAGGGACAGCCCTAAGGACACCTCCCCCAAGGAGTCTTTCCAGATCTCTCCTTAACTGGACCCGCTGCACAGCCTGTGTGCCAGATCTGGCCTGCCATTCTGCCTGCCACTTTATGAGTGACTCAGGAGCAGGGCCCACCATGGCTGAGTAGAGGGCCCAGCACATAGTAGGTGCTCAAGAAATATCTGCTGAGCTGAGTTGGACTGCCAGCTCTGGGGTGGGGCCACACCTTCTGCTCCATGCTCCCCTCCAGAGCTGCTAAACTCAAGGCCTGGCACTTGCCCCTGCCAAGGGGCAGAGAAATATGCTCCATCTTTGCTCCGCTGCAGGGCTGGGACAAGGCATGGGGAACAGCACACGGAGGCACACACATACACGCTCACACACGTGCATGCACACACACGAGCTCACACATGTGCACACACGCACATGTGCACACGTGCTCACCGAGGAGCCTTTCTTCCTCTTGTTGCTGATCCCCCCAAAACGGAACTTGAACCCGGCCACTTTTTTCCCCTTGCCCTTTTTCTTCCCATCTTTGGAGCCTTTGATCTTCTTCCTCACTCCAGGCCCTGAAAAACACCATGACGGTAACTAACAGCTGCCACCGATTGCTCACTTGCCACCATCATTTCACAGCCCCCACAGTAACCCGACAAGGAAAGGGTCATTTCTACCATCGCCACTTTTCATGTGAGGTGGCTGAGGCGCAGAGAGGTGAAGTCATTGCTTAAAGTCACGCAGTGAGTAAGGGGAAAAGCCAGAGAATAACCCTGACCCGAGACTGTCTGCTCTGGCCAACATGCTGTCCCTGTCCCATGAAGGGCAGAAACACTGGCCATTGTGGGACTGGCCCCTATACTGTTCCCACCCCACCCCCAGAAAGGAGCTGCCCCCAATGGAACCACCAGCCCCCAAAGCCAGCAGGGCCACTGAAGGCACACCTGGCCATCTATGGTCCATGCCTAGGTCCCTAGAGGGGCGTCCTGGAGCCAGAAGCCTTTCCCCCAGCTGCCAGCCTCCCCAGGCCCAGACAATGCTGGCACCACCCAAAGCCACCCCAAACTCTGCCAGTCACCCCTGGGTAAGCCCAGCAGGGTTGAGGTTGTTTTATGGAGCTGGCCACAAGGCAATTAGCTGTCTAGGAAGTAATGACCGCCCCGCCCCCAGCAGCCATCTACTGCCAGGCTGAGCGGGAATGCTGGGGGCCTGGAGGCAGGGGTTCACACCCTGCAGAGGTGGCCTCGCCCCAGATCCTCCTCCGGCACACCACACGCAGGGACTTGGAGCTGGGAGCCCAGCTGCACCCTCAGTGGCGCCACAGAAAAATCTATTTCAATTTTTTAAGCTCTGCATAGACAGCCCAGGGAATCGATAGCTCAGCAGCCGGAGCTCAAGAGAAAATGAGGAAGCAAGGGACGTTGGGCAGGTGGGGACAGGCCAGGAGTCCCTCCTTAGATCCTGGTGACCAGGACAAAGCAGGACAGGGAGCAGGCTCTGACCCACGACACTCAGCCCT